TTTCTCTTTATAACTCCATGCACATATCACAAGTTTCTCTTTTTAATCTGTGTCAAACTGGCCTAGCAATGTAGTTCACAGTAACCCAACTTTAGTGTGTAATATAACAGCAATGTTAACATCAAGATAAGTAAGTAGTCATAATGGTGGCAACAGATGAGACTTATAAGCTGTACATATTTTGAAGGGGTGTGTTGATTAAGATCATAAAGGTAGCTACCCAGTGTTTATGTGAAAAACCATATTCCAGCACATACCCATGTTAATGCTTGGTCTGGGGATAAATAAATCAAAAGATGTAATGTAATTATGATTTTTAATGTAGCTTTAACAATTTTTCAATCATATGGCTAATATGCATGCAGTGTGGCAGTTTATAGTGATGTCTAGCAATGGGCATCATGCAGCAGACATGAAGCATGATGTCCCACCTAGTCACATTCTCCTGACACCAGGCAGGCCAGTCCTAATACTAACCTCTTAATGCTGAGCGCCAAGCAGGGAAGCTGTTAGTCTTTGGTATAACTCCAGTGGGGTTCGAACCCACAACCTTCCGCATCCGAAGCAGCAGCTCTAACCACTATGCCACTGGAGCTCTCAGATCAAAAGAAACAATGACTAATGGTATTTAATGCCAAATCACACACACACACACACACACACACACACTGATTTGTCTTCCATGAAACAAATTTCATAACTTTACACCTATTTTTCTGTTACAACAATAACATTAAGGAACAAAGAACATGGAATGATGGTTGAGGAGTGAATTAGGTGGATAGATATTTATCAATTTTCATCTAAATGCAGTCTTAGGACCTGATCCCAATTAACAAACCATATCCTTAAAAACTTTATCTCAAAATGAAATGAGCAACAGGTTTCAGGCATCAACCAAAGGATAATGAAAAAGAAAAAGTAGGAGACAAAGAAAGTCAAATCCATCAACCAATAAATCCATCAATCAAACTCTGAAAGATAAAAATTAATAATCAATAACATGTCAACCACCAATATGAATAGGGTCTCAAACCAACTTGAGGACTTCATATGGTGCAATGGGTCATTAAATCCAGCTCACTCACTCACTAGTAAGCCCATCTCTAAACATTCAGTGTACCAACCAGTTCCCACCAACACAAATAACCATTATGTTCCCATCCTCATCCCACATACATGTAGCTAGAAAGGAGAAGAGGTCACAAGTAGAATACCAAGTGGTTCTGACTTTGTTCATGTCCTGAAAAACCATAACCTCTTGGCCACCATGTACTATCAAGTATACATAAATGCTTGCATGTAGATGCTTATTTTTATCAAAGCATGGAACAAATTTGTGAAATGTTTTTCAAGGAAAAAAGTGTTACATTCGTTTTCTGCTTTGGTATTATGTGAAAATTATGTTGCATTCCTTTGACATTAAATCTCCATGACAGTGAATTTCATATCAAAATAACTGATAGTTAAATTAAGCTGTGCTTTATGTGCCTATATTAAAATACTAATTGTTAATGGCACTGTAAATTAAAGACCTGTTAGAAAATTCAACCAAAGGGTATTAGTCACCACTTAAAAAGAATAATGTAGAGTAACAAAACAAATATAACATCACCAACTGATGGTAAGCAGTCAAACTGCACTCATTCAAATGTAAATGCATTATTCAGAGATGAGTCCTACTAAACTCGATCTTTAAAATTTAAGATAAATCCAATACTACTATAAAAGTACCAATCACAGCAAGTTTTACAAGTTTGATAGTTTCACATACAGTGAACAATTTCATGACATGTTTTTCTAATATTTTTGTATAGAAATGTGCATAAGGAAATGGTTTATTAACAATATTCTTAATTTTAAAACAGTTCATTGCAAAATATATATACCCACAAAATCTATAGCTTCTCAGCCTTTTCTATGTATTATTTTTAGCTTTTTGTGATATCTGTATTGGAGAAATCTAACATGTTCACTTTCATTGCTTCAATGGCCTAAGTGGTTAGTGTCCACCTCAGTGGCAGCAGGTCGTGAGTTTGAACCCTGGCAGTCAAAACAAAGACATAAAAATGGTACTAGCAGCTGCCTCACTTGGCACTCAGTATTACAAAGTTAGTGTTAGGACTGGCTGGCCTGATATTAGGACAATGTGACTGGGTGGGACATGATGCTACATGTCTACAGCACAATCCCCATTGCTAGACATCACCAGAAACTGCCACACTGCATATATCATAGCATATGACTGAAAAAAATGTTTAAAGCTACATTAAAATTCCATACATACATATTCAGGCGCTCATGTGTCTGGAACAAACTTGCAAATCCCAAAAGACATTATTCAGGCATGTGCTATGTACGTGTACTATTCTGCAAACATGCCAGGTAAAAAGGATGGAAGATACAACATGTCTAAATTAAGGGGATGTAGTCTTCTTCAACTTGTACATGTACAGATCTTGTGCATAAGAATGTCACTTGATATTAGTGTGGTCTCGCCCATTTTTGTGGACCTGATGATTGCATAACAAAGAATTTACAAAATTGTTATAATTTAATGAGAACAATTTGTGTCAGAATTTATGGACAGAATACATGGGCCACCAAAATGAGGCATCTTGGTTAAAAAGACTGCAGTGTGCTAGCCCTGTGGTAGGGTTTTCCACACAACTGGAAGAAGTCAGTTAAGATTTTAAATCAACGTGGAGTTTTAATGTGCTCCACCAAGGATCTTTAGCGGCAGCAAAAAGAGATCACTTGCTCCGTCAACCGGATACTGGATCATATCGGAATGCCCTGCTGTGGACCACTGTTAATTATTATGAATTATAAATTTCTAATTACGGGGGTGCTATTCAAAGTTAAAAATATTTACATATAAAAATAAAATAGAAATGTCTCATTTTTTAAGACTGTGTGACTGCAGAATTCTATTTTTAAAAATGCCAAAAATCAACAGAATGTGCCAAAACTGCATCATTTGTTGAAGGTCTACCTTTACCTACTATATCCATGTTAAGAATATTTTACAAATGGCAGTCGAGAATTTCTTATCTCAATTTTCAGTTAAATAATGAACTCTAAAGATAAAAATTTTTATATTAAAGTCTTTGCTTTTACTTCTTTGAGGGACTAAAAGTAAATTTGGCTACCAGGTTCTTTGTCTGAAAGCCTGTTTAATATTGGACCCTGTCATCGGAAACATACATGAACTAATTTTTTACTATGCTATTTTAAAGGCTTAAAAATTTATATTTTATGTATGATTGACTTGACTCTATTATGTTTAAATTTAATAATTAATCTACCAAAGTGTGGTCAAATAAGCATTCAATATTGCATGGTAGGCTAATAGTTAAGGCAAGTATGAAGCACACACGGGGCTATACTTTGTAACGCAAGGCACATGTACAATGGTTTCTTATGTTTAGCTCTAAATTATAAGGAGTCATTGAAAGTGAAATTTATGTAATGCATAAACTATGGTTTAACTTACATTTAATATACAGCATTACATTCTCGAAAATACAAATTTTAATCAATTTAAACTAGCTTGATAACATCCAATAAACAGTGTTACTAAAAATAACTCAATACATACCCCAAGAAATGGAGACTCCTGACGCAGAGCGTCTTTGGTTGGGGACGGCGCCCAAGCAGCCATGATCAGTAACAAACAAGTTACTAAGTATCTATATTAGTGAAAAGTCAATCATAAGACATCTTATATATTCCAAATACACCAGTGCCGCTTGATAAATAAACAATAAAAGTTAGCTGAATTGGAGACACAATGTTGAAGAATATTCAAACAGTACAATATCTCATGAAAACAGTAGCACAAAGATGTTAAAACCTTAAAATATGAATGAAACAAATAATTTCTGCAAATGTTTTGTGTATTCCAAGAATATAATCCTCCAATGTAGAACGCACTTAAAGCCAAGATTGTAAAACTATCACACTCGAACAACTCCAGTAATACACTCGTTGCATGTTTTGTTATCGTATCTGCTATTCAAATTTGTGAACAGTGGTAGAAGCTCCGCCTCTTTTGCAAACGTCACGGCAAACAAGCAGGTGCGCTGCCAATAGATTGGTAGGGGAGCAATGGGTATGATTTGCTTGACGTCATAATGATTGGCAGCAGCTTTTGTGTACTGACAGGTGAGAGAAAGGAGGGAGAGAGCAAGGAGCGTGTCGGAATGATAGCACGTCTGTTAAAAAATATCTACAGTGTGTTAACCTCTCGTCCCGACATTTATACGTCCGCATTTTCTGAGCAAACAAGATTTTAAAAAAAAGCTTTATTGATAACCCAGAACAAGATAATTATAATACATAATATTATTTTTAAACTGCATTTACACACTAATGTTTTAGTTGGAAGCAACAGTTATTTTGCTGAAAAAGATGTATTAAGATAAAGTCTGCATAATACACCCTTGTCATTGCCTCGGTTTTCTCTCCCTACAGCTACTGTTCCCCCACCCCCTCGAATGATTTTGAAATATGTATTATGCTTTATATCAAATTAAAATCGAAATTTACTCTCTCTCTCTCTCTCACACACACACACACTCACACACACACACACACACACACACACACACACACACACACACACACACACACACACACACACACACACACACACACCAGAGCTGCGAAAAGATATTGTTGCGTAAAAATACAAGAGTTGTCTCCCTTTAACATGTAAACTAATCCCACGGAAGTTCCCTCTCTTACACCATTATAATGTATAGGATTTGGATTTTTAACGTAGTTTTAAAAAAATTTTTAGTCATCTCGTGACAATGTCTGCAGTGTAGCAGTTTATAATGATGTTTAGCACTGGGGCATTATACCTCAGACATGTAGCATGATGTCCCACCCAGTCATATTATTCTGACACCAGGCATATCAGTCTTAACACTAACCTCTTAATGTTTAGCGCATGTCGAGGCAGCTCTTAGTACCATTTTTATAAGTCTTTGATATGACTCAGCCGTGGCTCGAACCCACGACCTCCCGCATCTGAGGCAGATGCTTTAACCACTAGGGCGCCGGCGCGGTCTGACACAATTAAATCTACCACAGACTAGTTGGCTAGTTTGAAACGAATCTATCCTGTTTGTTAGTTAAAAGATGACTGAACAAAACAAAAATACCATAGCAAAACACGTTTTAAGAGGAGTTCAATATTGAAATGAGTTTCGTTAACTAAAAGATCAGGTTGTTATGAACTTCTGTATATGTAATTGTATTGGGGCTCATACGGGATATAACAACATAGGTAAACATGCATGTGGGGGTATATTTCAGTGGGAAATCATATGTAAAATTGGTCCAAAGAATTACGTGAAATCCTATGTTAAAATTGTCCGTGTGTTAAACAAAGGATTAGTATTTAGACAATCTAATTAAAATCAGATATCATATGTTATACCTGAAGATCTGACAGCGACCGTTTATGGGTCATGTTCTGGTATCATATTGCATTATCATAATCGCTAATTTTATCAGTTAATTAGATCGTGTCTTATATCTTCGTGTTTGGAGACTGAGTAGTGTGGATGAAGCATAAACGGATACAGAACGATTTTATTCATTTTCAGATTTTTGCATGTTGCATTTCCATTGGCTTAATCAGATGTCACCAAAACATGACCTCTCTAAGAGGACGTCATCGCATTTTCACTTATGGCAGCGGATAACGGATTTTCATCAGAATGGGCATTTAGTAGGCCAAATGTTTCTAACGGGAATGGTAAAGTTAAAACTGGCGTCGACATTCCAACACACATTAAAATCAACGCACGACACATATTCCATCTAACACCCAAACAATATATTACCTGTAGTTTGCTTATTATTCAAACAAACATTACATTAAATACTCGCTGGTTGTTGCTGTTGTTGGGCTTAACGCCATTTTTCAGCACACGATAGGCTATTCATGGCGGACAGTATTAGTGGTGGAGGAAGAAACCGGGAATCACCGGAAAGAACCACTGACCCACGAGAAGCTACTGGCAAGCTTTCTCACATATCCACATTCGCCGAATCCTAGACTCGAAATCACGCAGGTGAGATGACAGTGATCCGTAACGGACAGCTCTTTAGACCACTCGGCCACTCGGGGCCCCCACATTTTTGGAAAGAGTTAGAAATGTCGAGACACATACTTTGACACAAACCATACATTCACACACAAGTAAAGGTAAAGAAGTAGTTCTTGACAGACTACATTACTCTTACATACAAACATACTATCAGGCACAAGTGTAGTAAATATTATGACAAGCTTCTGTATCCTTATATGCAAACACACACTATCACAAGAGAAGGGGTAAAAAGGGATTTTAAGTTTAGTTGTCAGGAACAGAGACATATTCAAAAACATACAATCATATAACATGCATAGAACGCACTATTCTTTTTTAGCAAATAAAATCACTTTCTCTTCTTTTCTAAAGAACGGAGATTTCCATGAAATTTTGGGTTTGATAACCAAATGCGGTTAATATATGTGCATCGCTTCACTGCCACTTATCTTCTTCTCAAATGTCGTTGCTTGGTTGGTCCCTGGGTCTTCAAGCACATTTGCCTCTCTACATAAATTTTTCACTTCCATATATCTGTGTATGCTATCCTGGTATTGGTACCCAATGCCTTCACATAATTAGGTAGTTCTGGTCAAACAGCTGGACCAAAACAATAGCTGATGATTACATAGTCCACGTCTTACTTGAATCGTCTTGAAAATTGGTGAAAGCATGGTTGTGGTGTTGGATACAAGTCGCTTATTGCCTATCGCCGTGAGGGTTAATTAAATCTGTGCATCTTTGCACACTAATTTCTTCTGCTATTAACCGCAAGTTATAATATTGACGCCATCCAAACAAGCGGCAGGAAGAATGGTGCCTTTCATTCCTCCACCCAGTCTTCTGTCCGTCCCGTTCCGCCTTCTTTCCGTCACCTTATTATGTGGGGGGGTGATGTCTCGTCAAATCTATAAATTGTTTCCTAATTCCGAAGGGCGTACCCGATGTAAAGATGTGTTAAGGTAGGGACCACCCAAACCATGCTCCCCTGAAGGAAAATAACATATTCGTGCTCTTCTTGCAATTTTACCTTTGTAATAGTATCTTTGTCCGTCGCGCGCCGAGCGTGTGTGTTTTTCCCCCAGAGCCGATTTAAGAAGCGTGGTGGCCCTAGGCACAAACTCTAACCTTAAAAGTTACCATAATTGCGCCTCCGTCTCTGGGTCTCAGATATTGAGTATTACATTTCATTTCCACGTGCATGGGTATCATTTGGTAAAATTCATTAATCTAGTACTAAATTGCTAACACAACTGACGACGAAATTTTGTTTTTAATGGAACGGGGCCCTACGCAAGTGCCTCGGGTTCCTATGCCTTACAACGACCAGGTGGGTTTCGAATCCTTAACGTAGCATTAACAATTTTTCGGGGCCCCGAGTGGCCGAGTGGTCTAAAGCGTTTTCCGTTACGGATCACTGCCATCTCACCTCTATCTGCGAGGGTTCGAGTCTAAGAATCGGCGAATGTGGATATGTGAGAGAGCTTGCCAGTAGCTTCTCGTGGGTCGGTGGTTCTTTCCGGTGATTTCCCGGTTTCTTCCTCCACCATTAATACTGGCCGCCATGTATAGCCTTTCCTGTGCTGAAAAATGGCGTTAAACCCAACAACAACAACAACAACAACAACAACAACAATTTTTCAGTCATATTGCGGCGACGTCTGCAGTGTAGCAGTTTATAAAGATGTCTAGCACTGGAGAATCATGCCGCAGGCATGTAGCAGGTCCCAACCAGTGATATTATCCTAACACCAGGCCGACCTTCTAACACTAACTTTTTAAAGCTGAGCATCAAGCGAGGCAACTGTTAGGACCATTTTATAAGTCTCTGGTACGACTTATCTAGAGTTCGAACCGAGACGAATGCTCTAACCACTCAGGTCACAGGAGCGCATTATATTCGTTAAGAAAAGTTCTTCATGAAGCCAGTTCAACAAGTGCTTGCGAATTACTAAGACTATTCTCCACTTGTGGACCTCTTATTCAAACCAATAACTCAAAGGTATACGTTTGTCAAAAATTAAAAGATGCCGCAATATAGACATACATAACAATATTGAATGGCCCACATTCAACATGAACGGATCCAATCTCATCTACACGAAATTGGGACAAGTACGTTTCAAAGATTTCATGAGATTTTGGGCCATGCCTTTAATAGAATGCCGAATAAAACATTTACAATGGTAGCTATGGCCCGCAGGTAATTTCCAAACTTTTTCAATAGCAACCCTAATCAACACGTTGTGCTCCCACAATCGTTATAACGACACTAGTGATATGCACAAAGAACACTGAGAAGTAATATACATTTTGTACCAGACTAACTTATCAAACTCGTTTGACGTTCAAGAATAAATGTTAAAATATTGCATGTCCGATGTGGACATTTTACGCCATTGCTATGGAAAATTTCGACAATTAATTCTGGGTCACGGTTAAGTTCTTAGAAGGAAGCTGCTGTTCTTGCTGAATCGTGTGGATTAGTGTAATGAAAAAAGTTCTCACCTGAGAACAAACTAGCCATTGTACCCATTCAATATTATCTCTCAGACATCCGTCGATATTCTGCCAAATCTTTGAATTGACTCCGTTAATTGTGAAAAAGTGATGACAGATGATACAAGTTACCAACGATGGGGAAAAGAAAATTGGAAGTTTTTTGTGGATAGCTGGAATGTAGCACCGATCCACCTCATAACGTCTACGAATCCAGTGAATCTTGTGTCACTGATACCCCCGATATTTCCTCAAAGAAACATGAATATTCCTTTCTCAAGAGTTACCGTCGAAGAGTTGTACCATCAAAACTACCAAAGATCCAGGAATTTAACCGCACTGCAGAACGTTACAACGTGGTACACATCACACATCAAACCTTTGAATCCACTCAACAGTTTGATTGGAGGACGAACCGATGCAACACATTTTCAAGGAAACGAAATCATCGATGTGTGTTCGATGCATATTTCGCTGTGAAAAATTACTCGATTTTCACCCCAAAATAAACACAGAACACATTAACGTAGAACACTTTAGTCAATACGAAGGGTTGGTCAAATCCAAGGTCTTCTTTCCAACCCACTTGTATCATCCTGTCTTGCTACATCATTGCCAAGGAAAACTAATATTCCTTTATGCCATCCGTGTACTGAAACACTAATCAAGACCAATTTTGCGGTCACAAAGATGCACATAGGTGAGCGTTGAAATGTTTCATGCCCTAGATCGTGGATATTAACTGTCAAGAGAATACGCAATTTGTCACTTTTCTACCACAGAACAATATCAAATGGATGACGACTCAAATCCAAGGACTTTTTCAGACTACCTTATAGAATTTTTAAAATTTAAACAAGAATCTAGTGATCATCCACCATCCTTCTTCTAGGGAAGACAAAAAGACATTCAAAGAACGGCACTGATCCTTAGAGGTCATCACTTTGAAACACATGGAAACAAAAACGAAGGAACACTATCGTTTGCTAAAGTAATTCTAAATTGTTTTGCTTGCATTCTTGCTGCCTTCTTCTCCTCTGCATTCATTGTGACTGACGAAAAGTTATATATTCAAATTTGGGAGACACTGCATCTTTGCTACTCCTTTAACATGTTAACATGTTGATTGTTGGACCGAGTGGTTCAGGCAAATCCAAATCCATCAAACGATCAAAAAAAAATTACAATTGTTTGACCATCTGCCTCGACATATTATTTGGTGTTACAAAGAGCGGAAATGGTTAAGAACGTCAAGGAGACGTTGTGATTATGTCTAATTTTAGAAAACACATTGTGTCAGCTTCAGTGACCTGTTAGGAGAAGAGGAAGAAATGAAAGTTTCTTTTACACGAAAAGAACATCATAGTAGTACTGGTAATGTTTACATTACACAATTATTTTTTAACAAAGCCAAGTACATCGCACAATCAGTCTCAATGCAAACCATGCGATTTTTGTTTAT